TTAATCCGTTTGGGTGGTTCTGGTGCACTGTCTCCAGTCATTATCACTGAGGCTTTAGATAGCAGATTAGCCTGAAAAGAAGCGGATTATATATAACAGTACTTATCTATAACCGTGTGAATTTTAATTCAACAAAAATGTATACGTGACTTTTCAGAAAATACCAAATTCTCGATTTTGCGGATTTTTGACTATTTATCATTTAGGTACAGCAGTAAACCCATTACCTGAGGACCCCAGGCTATTATGTTCATTAACATAATAAAGATTCGGCGGAATGACAGGCTGAGCGCGGCCCAGTAATAAACCCATTAATTACTGGGTTTATATATATAGTTCTCCGGGCGGAAATCAAACGCCTTTTAAGTTTTATTATTATTTTTCTTCATTATAAGTTAGAGTTATATATTTTGAGATAAACCAAAGAAACATTGATAATAATTTATAAAACAGTATTTAATGATAATAACATTCAGCAATACTCATAACAATATAAGTGAACGATGATCCTCTCCTTGATCTTATGCCTTGTGTTCGCCTCCTGCTCTGTAAAATCCAACAGTGATTATGCTGACCAATTAAAAGGTCTAAAGTTTGGCGATGACGGGTATATCCTCTTTGAACCTGATATGAGCCCGTTTGTCAATAAGATGTCAGTGTGTGTCTGGTTGAGAGACGTCGGGTCTATAAGAGGTCATCCTATAGTTTTTAACTACGGTCCAGTGAATAGATTCCGGTTCTCAAGTGACGGTTGGTTCAACTGTGTTGCTGAACAATGTTCTCTGGACGTACAGAGCAAACTCACAGTGGCTAAGAGGTTATGGTTCCATGCATGTCTTACTTGGAGCACCGCCTCCCGCTCCTTACGATACTACGCTGTCACGCTGACGGTATACTTTTGGGGACCATGGCAACAGATTCTAGGACTCTAACAACTGGGCACAAAGTCGTACTTGGAAATCATGCAAATGTACTTAATACTATACCGGATACGCATTTGGTGGAGAAATGGTCCAGCTAAATGCTTACGCGAAAGAACTGACTGCAGAGGAAATAAGAAGAATGGCAGACGATGGTATGTGTTCTCTTAAAGAAGACGAAAATGAGGACGTGCGTGTCTTGAAATGGGAGGACATGTTGAAGAAAAGTAGAACGGGGACCGTTACCGATATATACCCTTCTGAAAGTGAATGCGTTAAGTTGTTGATTACCAGACTAGGGGCGACAGAACGAAAGGTGAACGAGGTAGAAGAACAACTCTTAGCCACTCAGCAGTCATTGGAGCAAACACTTGAGGAAAATGAAGAAATTGAACAGACCCTGAACCAGACACAGACAAAGCTTAACAGAACGGAGTTGGAGATTCAAGACATCTCTTCGAACTTGACCAGGACTTCAGACAAGCTTCAAACGGCCCTGAAACAACTTGAGCAGTGCAACCAGACTAGTGAAAAGTGGGATTGGGATCTCTTCTTCCAGGAAAGTTACGTGAATACGACAATTTCCTCAGAGGTTGCTGAGCAGCTTCACTCTTGTTGGGACGATATAGCTGGTAAAGACATTGACTTTTAGAACGTTTTAATTGTTTTTCAGATCTCTCTCCGATGGCGATAGTGACTCGGTAAAACTAGTGCCGTTAATTTAAACGTTGTAATCTAAAAGATTGCTTTCAATTCAATCGCTTTCAATTTAATTTAAACGTTTGCACAAACTACTACAAAACTTTGTAATCTAAAATATTGCTTGTTATAATTATATGAATTCAATCGCTTTCAAATAAATTAACTGATATTGATAAATAAATTGAGGAAAGCAGCCGTGAAATTTTTTTAAATTTCAGAGAGGATGATTGGGTTTAAAGTTACCGAACAGTTTATCTCCTTCTGGCAACACATTGATCAGTGCACAGATCAGAGGCCTTGGTCGATGCTACTTACTGACCGGTACCTGAACAAGGTCTTCACTAGAGAGACGGCCAACGAACTGACCACCATGTGGGACGGAATCAGTGGTAAATTACTATACTAATACTTTAAAGTAATTATAAGTATAAGCATCATTATTTCTTATACCAGTATACTAGTCCGTATACTAGTCTGTATACTAGTCCGAGTTTTTCGGGTTTGACAAATTTTGTCAATTTCATCGGCTGCGAAATGGTCGGGGTAGATATTTTTAGACCCAGGCTAGGATACCAATATTTTATAACATCGTCAATTTTCAGACCGTCTTATCGGGGTTACAATGACCAAGGAGACGATCGAACTTCTAAAGTACATTGAAAAGATGTATCTGAATATCTCCCTTTAAGCAGACGTTGCGAGGCTAGATTTCGAAATCTAGCCTCAACAACGTTTTTGCCTTTTGGGTACAAAACAGTTCGGTTTGACATAGATAGTGACACTTTTCTCAAACTTTTTGGTAGCAAAAATGTCTTTTCACCAGTTAATTTCTGCCTTGATATAGAGCACTTAGTTATTTTACCATGGTGTGATATTTTTGTTTTTCGTTATACAATTTTTAGCTAATGTCTTGATGAGTTAGCATGGTCTTTATTTCATGTTAAGTGTATTCGATATTTATTTATTGAAACAGGCAAATTTTGGTGCTCGATTTTCATACCTTCAGCATTTGCTTCATTATATCATCATGAATTTAATTGATAGTGATCTTAAACTCGTTTTAAAAATTTAACCTTATTGATTAATGTACGTCAAAGTTAGACCAGGCAATTGATCGGAAAATGTATGGTTACTAAGCTGGTTATCCAATTAAAGTTACAAACACGGTTTACTAATATTGAAGTTCGTCCCTTTTCCGGTGGTGGCTTCCTCTTCTCCTGCTCCTCCAGTATTTTCTTAGCTTTAGTTGTCTGTACGGATGGGACGTACGCGTCAGCACACGGGACTGTGAAGACGTCTTCATCTTCTACCACTGAGTTCCACTCCCAGACTTCTTTGGAAATCTGCCAGATTTAATGGTCTGTTTTATTCTAAACGGCAAAAGATGATGAATTTCACAAATGAAATTTAGGCATAACCCAGACACATTGGTTAAGATAAGGAGCAAATCATTAACATTGTTCCTGAACAAATTTCAACAAAGAGCGATAAATAATCAAAATTAAAAATTTTTGGACAATTTTTCGAACAGTGTTATGAAGTAACAATAAACAAGTAATTAACCAAGTCGTTTCCCTGATAAATGAAGAACGCGTATGCTAAAAAAGAAGACGATAAGGGTTATTATAATACATCAAATTACAAGATAACTAATGTAATATGGGAGTAATTATGAATTCACTGTGGCAGTAGAGTTTTTTCCCAACGCTCCCTCCCCAGTCCTCATCCACGGCCCTTTGAAACCATCAGCCCTAGTTTGAAAGTCACACATGAGTTTTAAGGGCTAATGGTTTTCTAATTGGTGACTCTGTGACTCGTAGTTTAATCTAAATCATAACCCCTGACCTGCATACTTGTTTAGTAGTTTACTCCTCCGATACATAATGTTAAATATAACGGTGACTGATACTCTGACTAAGTACATGATCATATTCATATTTCATAGACCTCAATTTATTTGGCCTTGATTTCACGGCTCACGCCGGCGTACGCCGCCGCCGCCGGTGTAATTTTAGTGAAACGCCGCCGCCGATCCATTTAGCCACGGCGGAAAAGCCTGACTCTGAGTCAGTTTGGAATATCATTAATTGATTGTAACTATTAATTAATTAATTGATTGTATCTATTAATTAATTAATTAATTGTATCTATTAATTAATTAATTAATTAATTAATTGTATCTATTAATTAATTAATTAATTAATTGTATCTATTAATTAATTAATTAATTAATTGTATCTATTGATTATTAATTTGTAGTGTCTTTGATTTGGCAGACGGGTACTATCCGGGTACTACTAAGCTGTTTACTTAGATACTAAGCTGGTTACTTAGACACTAAGCTGATTACCTGGTTAATAAATTGGTAACTAGTTACCAAGCTTGGTCTCTAGATACTGAACTTTTAACTTTGTAACTAAGCTGGTTATCTTGTTACTAAGTTGTAAGTTGTTTACTAAACTGCGGTACTAGTCTGGTTACCTGGTTACTAACCTGGATTCTGTGAGCTTGAGAGAGTGCTCCTTCTTTTAATCCGTTTGGGTGGTTCTGGTGCACTGTCTCCAGTCATTATCACTGAGGCTCTAGATAGCAGATTAGCCTGAAAAGAAGCGGGTTGTATATTACAGTACTTATCTATAACCCTGTGAATGTTACTTCAACAAAAAATATATACGTGACTTTTCGGAAAATAACAAATTCTCGACTTAGCGGATTTTTGACTATTTATCATTCAAGTACAGCAGTAAACCCATTAATTACTGGGTGTATATATATAATAGTTATCCGTGCGGAAATCATACGCCTTTTAAGGTTTTTATTATTATTTTTCTTCGTTATAAGTTAGAGCTACATATTTTGAGATAAACCAAAAAAACATTGATAATAGTTTATAAAACAGTATTTAATGACAATAACATAACAATAGTGCATAGTGAACGATGATCTTCTCCTTGATCTTATGCATTGTGTTCGCCTCCTGCTCTGTAAAATCCAACAGTGATTATGCGGACCAATTCAAAGGTCTAAAGTTTGCCGATGACGGGTATATCCTCTTTGAACCTGATATGAGCCGGTTTGTCAATAAGATGTCAGTGTGTGTCTGGTTGAGAGACATCGGGTCTAACCTTTATCGTACAGTTTTTAACTACGGTCCAGTAAATAGATTCCGGTTGTCAAGTTACGGTAATCACAACTGTGTTGCTGAACAATGTTCTCTGAACGTACAGAGCAAACTCACAGTGGCTAAGGGGTTATGGTTCCATGCATGTCTTACTTGGAGCACCGCCTCCCGCTCCTTACGATACTACGCTGACGGTATACTTTTGGGGACCATGGCAACAGATTCTAGGACTCTAACAACTGGGCACAAAGTCGTACTTGGAAATCATGCAAATGTACTTGAGGCCAGATATGCATTTGGTGGAGAGATGTTCCAGCTAAATGCTTACGCAAAAGAACTGACTGCAGAAGAAATAAGAAGAATGGCAGACGATGGTATGTGTTCTCTTAAAGAAGACGAGAATGAGGACGTGCGAGTCTTGAAATGGGAGGACATGTTGAAGAAAAGTAGAACGGGGACCGTTACCGATATATACCTTTCTCATGAATGCGTTAAGACGTTGATTATCAGACTAACGTTGACAGAGCGAAAGGTCAACGAGGCAGAAGGACAACTTTTAGCCACTCAGCAGACATTAGAAGAAACCCAGCAGATATTACAAGAAACCCAGCAATCATTGGAGCAAACACTTGAGGAAAATGAAGAAATTGAACAGACCCTGAACCAGACACAGACAAAGCTAAACACAACGGAGTTGGAGATTCAAGACATCTCTTCGAACTTGACCAGGACTTCTGACAAGCTTCAAACGGCCCTGAAACAACTTGAGCAGTGCAACCAGACTAGTTTTTTTTATCAATAAACTTTCAAATTGTTACACAAATACATCATTTTATTTCAAAGAAAATATCGCCGAATGACCTTACATGCCTTGACAAGTCACAAGTGACCGAGTGTAAACAAAATTAGGGACACCGAAACACCAGTTGACCAGTAAACTGATCATAGCAATTACATCGGGCCCTAAATGCACCTATAAGTGAAGCGATGCTGCAACCAGGGCATGCTAGGTTTATTCCATTGAACTAATAAGGTTACAGCCTAAAATATAAATATAATAAATAACAATGTACCATAAATCATAATTATAAACACTTTATTTAACATATTTTATTAATTATACTTTTTATCAATTTATATTTAGACAATATAGTTACATTAAGGTAAATTGTTTAACTGTCAGAGGATGTTATATGGTCGTTTAGAACTGTCCAGAGGTACCTAATTAAATGGGTTTTAAACACGGATGGCCTTGAGATTTCCCTTAATTCATAAGGGAGTTTATTCCAAAGAATGTGTGCTCTGTAAAAGTAAGACTTAGATATGCCTGAACATCTGGTCTGGCTTGACGTAAGGTTTTGTGGAACTTGAGGAGAAATGTCACTAATCATACTGAGATCGTCTAGATGTGATCGCCTTAACCTACTTCCCATGAAACGTCGTAAGTAAGGTGGAAATGTCACAACTGACATGTCATAAAAAATATTATGAAAATATAATATATCCTTGTAATCAAACCTTACCGAGAGTGGAAGGATATTTAGTTCCTTACACGCTATGAAATACCTTTTTTTGTCCCTAAGGCTCAAGTAAATATCATTAAGGATCCACTTGATACCTCTTTTTTGTATCGATTCAAGTTTCTCCACCGAGGTTTCTGAATGAGGCCGCCAGACAATTGTGCAGTGTTCGAAATGACTTCTAACCTGAGATAGATAGAAGGCCCGACGTTTTTTAGTGTTCTTGGTGAAGTAACATGTTCTTTTTAGAAGGCCTAACCTCTGACTAGCCTTAGAGTATATCATATCACAGTGATGTGACCAATCTAACTTACTATTGATATGTACTCCAAGATCTTTTTCAAGATGAAAAGTGGGATTGGGATCTTTTCTTCCAGGAAAGCTACGTGAATACGACAATTTCCTCAGAGGTTGCTGAGCAGCTTCGCTCTAGTTGGGACGATATAGCTGGTAAAGAAATTGAATTTATAACGTTTTAATTGTTTTTCAGATCTCTCTCCGATGGCGATAGTGAAACAAACTACTATACAACTTTTTAATCTAAAAAATTGCTTGTTATAATTATATTAAATCAATCGCTTTCAAATAAATTAACTGATATTGATAAATAAATTGAGGAAAGCAGCCGTGAAATTTTTTAAATTTTCAGAGAGGATGATTGGGTTTAAAGTTACCGAACAGTTTATCTCCTTCTGGCAACACATTGATCAGTGCACAGATCAGAGGCCTTGGTCGATGCTACTTACTGACCGGTACCTGAACAAGGTCTTCACTAGAGAGACGGCCAACGAACTGACCACCATGTGGGACGGAATCAGTGGTAATTTACTAATACTTTTTACTAATTATAAGTATAAGCATCATTAATTCTTTAATTCCTATACCAGTATGTTAGTCCGTATACTAGTCTGTAATCTGTATACTACTACTAGTCCGAGTTTTTCGGGTTTGACAAATTTTGTCAATTTCATCGGCTGCGAATTGCGAAATGGTCGGCAGGTCGGGGTAAATATTTTTAGACCCAGGCTAGGATACCATTATTTCATATTCAATTTTCAGACCGTCTTATCGGGGTTACAATGACCAAGGAGACGATCGAACTTCTAAAATACATTGAAAAGATATATCTGAATATCTTCCTTTACGCAGACGTTGAGGCTAGATTTCGACATCTCATTGTGCTCATTTAGAATCTGAATACTGAGTTATAAAAACGTTATAAAGACAACGTTTTTTGCTGTGAGCTTCCTCCGAGTTGTTCGCGAACAGGGGTCGGGATATCTGGATATATTCATATGGCGAACATTTAGGTTTTATTTTTTAAGGCAATGAAAATCGAGTTTAGTAAAAATATAAGATTAGTTCAATCTGCCAACAGTTGCACTGTACGAACAAAATAAGATTTATATTGTTTGATTTCTAATATTTCTCTAGAAAAAAACGGAAATAATTAAAATGCAGTTCCCCTGACAAACGTATAATTTTCACTAAACAAGTTTGCACAAGACGAGACTGATCGTCACAACCCAAAAGGCCCCTCCAGTTGTTCCTAATGCCGGTATCTCACTCTCTCTGGTGAGAGTAAGACTTGAGAGAATGGTTCCAACAGCAGCTGCAAGATTGAGCACTACGTTATTCACTGCCGTGGACCTTGCTCCTAGTCCCGCGACAGACTCGCCCCATTTCTCGTACAACAAAAATTTGCTCATAATCGCTAGGTTTATTATTGCTGCATCTCCAAAGCCAACTAACACTGATCCCACTTCGAAGTCAAATCGGAAATGTAAAAACTTAGTTGTTGATCCGAATGCTAGGATGCAGCCAATGTGAAATACTATGTTCCCAAATATCATTATGTTGAAAACATTGAACATTTTCTCAGCAAGGTATCCTAATACTCTAATATAATAGCTGATATTAATGAGAATAAGTTAAGTAAGTTAGTAAAAATAACAGCTGTTTTTAAACTTCGTCCTGTGTACATGACCATCCTAGCTGGAATGACATAAATAAGTAGGTTAAACATCATATTGTTAATAAATACAGCTACTTCGGGCATGTAATATGCTAATCTTCTCAATGGTGTCATTTTGCTAATCTTCTGAGGTTCCTCTTCCTTTTCATAATCTTTGGAGCTGTCTTTACCCTCTGTAGTATCTTCCACTGGATCCTCATGGCTTTTTATCCGTCTCATAACAGGGATGATTAGTAGTAAGGGGGGAATGTTCAAGGCTGCTACACCAGGACCAACTAAGACCCACCCTCCGTGCATATAAAGCCATACTCCCAGTACCTTACAAGACATTTTTGTGGCGGACCAATTTGCGACGACCGAAATTTTGGCGGTCCGAAAATATGGCGAAATTGAACAAAAACCGTCACATTTCGGACGTCACAGAAAATAAGGGTATTTTTCATCATTTTGTTTTCTAACACAAAGGAAATTCAAAATTTTCTAAAAATCGGTAAAATCATGTTGAAACAAAATGAAACTTATAAATCGATTTCTTCATCTTCCTCTAAGGGGTCCGGCTCGACTCTTTCAGTTTCACTTATTGAGTTTGGTATTAAATTGTTTATCTTGACTTGGTCTCTTATAAGACGTTTATGTTAGCACATAAATGTAATTTATTGTAAATTTAAAACGTATTACTTGACATTAAATTCATCATGGAATATTGTGTTTATTTGTCCCACCATCATATCACTAATTTTTCAAAAACAAAATGAATCGATGAAGCCACAATTATTGGAATAAGCTAAAAATAATGCGACGGATTCTATTACGACGACCGAAATTTTGGCGGTCCGAAAATATGGCGAAATTTCGGGAAAACCGTCGCATTTCGTACGTTATAAAAAAGTCTTGTAAGGTATGCTACATACGATAGAAGACACGTGCGTAGCGCTACTGATTATAACTATGAACATTTTGTGTTCTTTGAGATACAGATCCACTACCTCACCCTGAATTGATTAATTAAAAGCTACTACACTTACATGTACTAATTATTGTTCAATAGCTAACTTGGAAAGTTGGGAGCATTTAAAATGTCGACGATTGTCAGCAATATTTATGCCTAACGAATGCAGATGAGCAATTGATTTACCTGAACTATCTGAAATATAAGCCCAACTGCAAATCCTTGAAGAGACCTCAACACGAATATTATCCCAAAGACAAGCTCTCCGTTTTGATACCTTTCAAGAACAACATCCACAGATCCCATAAGCGCGAGGAAGATAGCATTGGACACGAACAATATTGTACATCTCTTGGCTAGTGATATTGTTCTTATTGAGTTAGGAAAGCATTTGAAGAGGTAGGGACTGGCTGCTGAAGTAATCAGGGTCATCGAAATACAGACCGTACCTGAGAATTGTATTTTTAGAGACATTGTACTGAAATTGGAGTAAACAAGTATGGAGGTCCAAGGATCACTTCCATTTTCTGTCTGCAGCATTATTGTATCTACCGTTTAATTCCGTAACAAAATGGTTTTTGTTTAAAACTTTTGAATCCTAACATTTCGTGACATCTAATCTAGCGAACAGATAATGATAAATCATTTTCTTACCAAATGTTTTGTTAAGGTTTTTCTCCTCCAAAAACCGTATGTAGAATCCAGAAGGAAATATCCTGGTAGCCAAACAGGCGACATTTCCAAGACAGGCGAAAATTAGCACTAACAACAGGTCCCTAGTCCTTGGTTTCGAAACTGAAAGTTGTTCCGGTTATAAGTGTTTGTCGACGACCAACCTGCTTACTGCTTATAGATGGCCACTTTATAAGGGGACAGGGCGGTGGATCATGATGATGGAGTTGTAAAATCTATGCCCACTTATAAAAACACACACAAAACTTGTGTGTGTTTTACCTTTTAGCCTTTTAAAAGATAAGCATTTTCATCATCCTAATTGTCCTCGCTAGCAAGCTCTGGTGTTTGATTCGCTATGATATGAGTGTGATTGTGTCCTCCATCCAAACTTTTTAAATATTTTTTATTCAACGTATAATTGCATTAAAGTTAATCCTTTATGTTAAAACCCCAAAGTTACCAACAACTGAAGAATGTTTTGCGAGCGTTTCAGGAGGAGAAAAGTTCTCAGCCATGGACATAAAGCAAGCGTACAATAACGTGGAGCTATCAACAGAAGATCAACTAATCACGACGATGAATACCCATATGGGACAGTATGTCTTTCAGCAATCTAATAATTCCTGAAATATGATGGTAAGCATGATACAATATAATGGTAAGCATGATACACAAAAGGAAATCGCGGCATGTGCGGGATCTGCAGTCATATCTGCAGTCATATCAGTGCTAGGAAAGCTCCATGCCAGTATTAATTTGCACGCAATAATCGATACGCGTATTAAAGTAAAAATAGACTCTGTAATTCGCTTCCTAATATCACCTAGTGAGTTACCTGCAGGCTATCATGTTCATTAACATGAGTAGAGATTAGGCGTAATGACAGGCTGAGCGCGGCCCAGTAACTAGTGAGTAAAGTATCCTCGACCTCGTACACCATAACATTTCAGTAAAAATACTTGATCAATAACAATAATCCCCTTCACCCGGTCATGTAATTGTGTTGTGATTAGATTCCTCGACCTCGTACATTAGAAGACCTCGTACTGATATGTATTTCACTCTAACTAGCAGAAAGACCGGAGAGATGTTCTAGCAAAACTTTAAGAAAATTTTAAGACTGTCGCTCATAGTTTATTCTCGGACTTGTAAAAGTTTCGCCCACTGAAATATCATTAAAAACGTATCATTTCGACATAATATGACATGATAGTACTACTCTAGTAGCAGGGAATAGTTGAGTGTGCACTTCGATGTATACGATTTCTGACAACACAGTGTTGCTGTTGTTTGTTAGATCATTCTTAACCAAAATCGTTTAGGTACGCAATTTGTGTCGCTAGACATAACCCTACAGGTCAACCGGCAAGTTTTCAGGGATTTAAAAATGAGATCGGGATCGGAATGACTTCACGGGAGTCCCTACATAGCATGGATTGGACATTAATTGTCAAAGCATTATTCATTACCCGAGCGGCCGCTCTGTACTACAGGATGGAAAAGGTTTAAACTTTGGGTTGGAACTGGAAGGAGACAACATCGAATGGCAGCCGTGGCTTTTCAAATCCTACGGACTTGAGACATCGACGGCCGGTCGGTGCATCGTAATTTGTACTAAGCTGAGAAATCCGCAGTGATTAACCTCTACCGTGTTACTGAAACGGAGGAGTCATACTATTTCCAGGTGAAGCGGAACAAACTTCTAAGCACATGTGCATGTGCTTTACATATGAATTGTGACTCAATTTAATTAGCAGTGGCCACACACTTCCAACATGCATGAGACTTAGTGAATAAAGAATATCAAAACTTTTATTTTTATTGAACAATGTTTAGTGAACTCCACTGTGCTGTAGAACAATTCAATTGTTTCGACACCAACTTTTAAACAAAAACTACCGTTTTACTGTACCATGATAACCAGCAACTTTGATATTTTTAAAAATGTACATTGTTATTGGGGTGTAACAAAGAAGATGCGTGATTAAAAGTAGATTTCATTGTATTTAAAACCTTTTCCAAATGTACACTATTAACATTTAATAACGCTGTAAAATCGGTAAACTTTGATAAATAAAATGGAAGCTCTACTTATTACAAGTCACTGATCTATCATAAAACAATTTGTGATTGACTGGCATGAATAGTAAAATCTAATTAGTTCTGGTGTCAGGGGTGTAGGAAGCGGGGGGGCAGGGGGGGCCATCGCCCCCCCCCCCCCCCCCCCCCCCCCCCCATGAAATCTGGACAAGGGGCCAAAAAGGGCCAACTTTTTAATTTAGGTTTCTAAAAATTTTGGGAAAACAATTTTTTCCCCGAAAATTTTGTAAGATAAAAATTTTCAAAGTTTTCTTGGAAACTACTTTTGTTCATGTTTCATGCTACCCTGATCATTATGAGCCAAAAATATTTTTTCGGTTTTCGAAGTTCGATTTACGATTTTGGACTCGAGGGTTCCCCTTTGTAATGCGATCTCGGAGGGCAGGCCTCCCCTTCGCAATATGAGCTCGGAAGCGGGAGCTCTTCTGTCAGAGGTACGTATCGAGAATGACTCGGACCGAAAATTTTCTAAGTCAAAATTTTTCAAACTTTTTCTGCAAACTACTTTTGTTCATGTTTCATGCTACCCTGATCATTCTGAGCCGAAAATATTTTTTCCGGTTTTTTTGAAGTCCGTACCTACATTCGGAAAGTTGTGGATGTGATACTGATTGGTTTCATGTACTAATTATACAGGGTGGGCCAAGAGTCAGTGTGCAAACGTTGGCCTTAATAGCTCAGTCACTGAGTGCCCAATTGAAATACTTCCTTCTGGTATGACTTAGTACCACCACTGGTTCGAGGAATTTGTCAACTCGAAAAATATTCGCGTTCATTTTTTTCAAATGGAGGTTCATTTTCACATTTATTTGATATTTTGGATAGACGGATCAAGCTAAATGTTATTGAATTGTGTTTGGCCATTCGAATTACGTTTGTCCTGAAAGAATTAGAACTGTAGCTTCTCAGATGACCGAGATATGAAGCATAACGAGTTTATTCATTACGTGTGATCAGGTGATTGGTTTACCTAATCACGTGATAAGGTGACCCCGTTAACTACCCCGTTAAACATTATGGGAATTGTTAAGGGTGCCCAATTAAGGTGTCGTGTCACGGTGTCACATAATCACCCAGTCAATTTTGTTAACGAGATACACAAAATGCTTGATAACTTCGTCATTTCTAATCCGTTTTGCCTCATGTTTTCAGATCATATGCAACATTTGATAATCTACCGTCTCTGAAAAAATTAGGCGTTCAGCATGTTCAGAGAAAACAATATAGGTGTTTTAATATTGAATGGGCGTGGTCTAAAATATTCGAATTTTCAAATTTTGACGACGGAATCCTCGAACCAGTAAGTACAGTATGCCATCTGCAAAGCAACAGCTCTCAAATATAAAACACGGCGGAGGTATAAGACCCAACGTTTGCACACTGACTTTTGGCCCACCCTGTAGAAAACGTGATATTTGGCCCACAGATTTGAAAGAAAGTACGCAAATTTGGTCCTCAGATTTGAAGGAAAATGCGCAATTTGACGCGAAGAACTGAAAAAAATCGCGATTTGTCGTGAGGCCAGGATCTAAAAAATCGCGATTTGTTGCGGAAACGTGAAAAAATCGCGATGCCGCACATGCTGCAATTTCCTTTTATCCGACCTTACCCTCACAATTCAGGCTTTGGCGCGAAGCGCCAAAAAATATTTAGAATTTGGCCCCCCCATGAAGAAAATCATTCCTACACCCCTGTCTGGTGTCTGCCAGTTTTATGAAAATTCAAAAACTGGCAACACGCTATCAGTCATTTTAAAACGTATGAAAGGTGTGAGGCCAGGGTTGGTACTTGGGAGGAATACAAATCTGGTAATTAGGACTGTTCTCCTTCTTCTTTAGCTTCAGCTGGGGTCGAGATAGCGTGCCTGGTACAAGGTCACTGCATTAAAACTTTTCATCTTGTTATTATCTATTTTTCCCGAAGAAGTTTGTCGCAGCAATATACTGATCGATTTTAATTTTATATAATTATAAATTTGAAATTTGTCTGTGTAGTAAGTATTAGAATAGCGAAATAATGGGACTTACTTGCAGTAGTTGCTTGAAGTGTTGGTTTTGTACATGTCACTAAGCAGCTGGTTTGTGTAATCACTACACAACTCTGGCTGGTGACATGGAAACGCTGTCGCTTCCTTCCCTGCAGTGCACAGTGATATTGATAAAATAATACCATGCTGTGCATAAAATGATAAATCCATCATAGCAGCACACTTTGCTCTCAGGTAATGCAATATCTTAATTAGAATTGGTTGGCATAACAACGGTCACACTAGAATTCGGAGGCACTGTCGAGTATAATACCTGTGCAGTGAGCAAGTTCTACTGGACTAGGAATTAGGATTCGAAATGAGGCGGACAAGGGTTTTCAAAAAGATGTGGAGTAAATTTTTGTAACTTTATGGAATTTGATGAAAATTAAATCGCAGCCTGTAATGCATACCTTGTTGTTAATGTGATACATTTATGTCAAAGTAAGTGCGTAAAATAAAACTTTTAATTACAATATTTGCGTTGCGCGCTACGTAATTTGTATGCGATTCTGTGTTTTGGCACTGTGCGCGACAAAAAATTCCCCCTATTTTCTTACATTTCTTACATTTCCATTTTTAGATTCCCTGTTCAATAATTCATTTATAAAATTTTTCAACTCGAATAAATAGTCAATAATTAGGGTATAAGTAGTCAGTTAAAGTTTTTGTAACCAGTCATGTGTGACAAATCAAACTTGCCCCCCACCGCCGAGCACCCCCCCCCCTCCGGCATACTTACTTAAAAGATACTTAATTGAGTCAGGATAGTCGGGAGCCTTTACTGCAGAGGTCATAACTTTCTGAGTTGATTCAAAGTAGTGCCCGTACTGAAAACATGATGTTTTATGAAGTACGGAATGGTGGCATTATTGTAACTTTTCACGAATAGAATATCTTGATTCCATAAGATAACGATTAACGAAGATCTACAATAGTAAAATAACTAGGAGCACAATTTGAACCTGAGATTTAGGTTGATGTTTCTTTTGTATCTCATCAATACCAAAACACCTTTCGTTCCAGTTGCCTATCCTAGTTTTAGTCTCGTAAGCGTTTTCCGTGGTTGTGGTCCTCCAACCAAACTTCTGTACATAAGAACGATATAAGTTAAGGTGGTTTTTGCAGATAAACATATACAGATATTTAGGCAGATAAAAATAAACCCCACACAGCAACCCTTTGCAAAGGGCTCACGAGGTAGCTTTATTTTGTAATGCTACTAGTACTGCATGCTATGACAAGGGCCTGAGAATACAATAGCGCAACGACCGACTCTGCTACCTTTGGGGCGGCATTTTGACAATATAATCCTAGAAAAAAGTTGTTGTCCGAATTTAAGTACCTCACCCTGACTTAGCATCGGTCAACGAAAAAAGGCGGCCGGCAATGACATGTAATAAAATGAAATATTAATTAGCAATTTATAATTATTTCTTGATCGATTACCTGGAATTTGTTGGTGTCGTCAGTGTGGTCCCATATTTCACCGTCTGGGGAAGCTGTCAGTGTGTACCGGAAGGGAGGAATTGAGGGGTCGATACTACCGGACATCTTACTAAACAGGACAGTAATATTACTTTCATTAAGTTGAGGCAATATTCAAATATTTTTGTTGTATTTGTCACTTGCGTCAAAACAGTGAAATTTCGGATCCGGAAAGCATATATATATTTATAATATATTTAAATATAATTAAACCTCATATTTCAAGAACAGAGGCGAATATAAAAATTCTGTGCATACTGTTTGTGGGTAATAGCCCAAGGAACACCTGTGCCAAGTCTCAGGTCATGGGTGTGGCCAGTCTTTTCCAAAAGTTAAGGTTTACCTTTTTCGATTTCAGTTAAAGTTTTTCATGTAATTACAGGTAAACCTCAAACTTTGGCCTCAATATCGCAGCAACGCAAGGTCAGAATTTTATGCGGTTTTTTTCTACCTGTTTATCTCCAGCAGCTCTATGACATATAAGGTAAAAACTAGAAAGGTGACTTTTCCTCCCCCTGGCCCTCTGGCCTTGACACGATGTCCTGCCTGACTTTCCATGCTTTCAGAAGGATGTAATGTATTCTTATAGTCCTATTGTAGAACTACTTTATTGATTTACATCAACACCACTTCAAAAGGTGATTATAATCGGTTTGCGGGACTGGTAGATTGTAAAGTAGACAGAGATTTATAATGACTGATAATGTACGTGAAGATATATTCAATTTCGTGACAATTCATCAGTAACAGCATAAAGGTCGTCCACGACAAAATATAACCACTTAAATGTATTTTGAATTGTGATGGCTTAAAATATCACGTATCAATTTTTCGCCCATTGATCAATTTTAGCTTCCTTGTAAGTCTAAAAGTAATATAAACAAATCAAACACCATACATAAACCAAACAGACTCAGATGATCACAGATTATAAAATAAGAAGCATCCAAAACATCACCATATCAAATCCCCGTAATCCAGCAGAAGTGTAACTTCTTATCTCATCTCTTATCTCATCTCTTATCTCCCTTCTTAGATAACAGCACAATGAGTAACACACTGGTGCAGTTTGACTGCATCACAGTCAGAGTTACTGTTACAGGGGTTGTAGTTACCTTCTCCGTCGTCAAGGTAACACCATTCAGCACACTTGGCACAGGTTGATCTGACAAGTTATAAATATTATGTTAAAGTTAAATATAACATTTATCTATACTATAATTTAAACTTGACGAAATTTCCCCGGCAACGGGGACATAGAAGAAAAAACACCGAAAATCGACCTCAAAATGACCCTCTGGTGAAATCAAACCCAGCTCGCAAATGGAGTTGAAACCTCGCCATTTTTAGCAGGGTTGTAGAAAAAGGATAGGAATAGGCTATAGCATTCTTAGAATTTTGATTTAGGCTTTAGATTTTTTATAATTAACGTCGGAAGTGAGGTAAAATAACCGTTAGAATAATGTCGTTATTTTAGCAAAGGTTTACTGCGCTGTTGCGTAGCAACGTTAAAATGCACGTGCGCGAGCAAAAACATCTTAACCACGCGCGTTGTTATGCTGTATGCTACGTCATAATTTCAAAACTAGCTCACATTTACGCTCACGCTATGACTTATATTCATAACTTTGGTTGTGATTGGTATTTTTTGATGCGGTAAAAAGTATCGTTTTGGGAATCCGAATACTAACAACGCTGTCGCCATTGTTAGATAAATTCCATTATGTCTACAGTATAACAGAGCTATATGATGAAGAGAAATTAAAACATAACTGATTTTTAAAATTTCCTCGAACAAAGCTTTCGACTAGCGGGTTTCTAGTAAATATTATGTTAAAGTTAAATATAACATTTATAAATATTATGTTAAAGAAATATAACATTTATAAATATTATGTTAGATAAATATTAAATATTCATAAAATATGGAGTATGTAGATCCAGGAATTTAATAAAAATGCAGGTCCATCGTAAACGGTTTCAATATTAGGAGTAGTTTTAATAGGGTATTTTTGTAGAATGTTTCATAGAATGTACTAATGTAGAATGTTTCATAAAGCCATGTGCTCTTTTAGAAACTTGGTAGGGAGCTGAGTTTCCAATTGTATCCAGCCTCTCAACTACTGAGTTTGGTTTTACAAAATAACATTTAACATTAAATAAGCGAAAGAACTGTAACTTACGAATCTGGAGTGAGCTTGTCAATGATGTCATGTCCATCATGAATCTCATCTTTCTTCTTCATCTGCTCAATGATATCAGCTATCCTGTTTTTAAGAGGCGTTTTACAAATAACTGCAAAATGAGAAGAAATTAAATTATATCGCAACATCAGAACCCCCAATTTAAAATATTGAAATGGTAATTTGACCAGCATTCAAGTGAAAATGGAGAAACAAGAAATGAAACGCACGAGCAAATTCCGTTGCACTGGCTCCAGCAAACATTCTTCCAGCAGCCATATGAGCAACCTGTGTCAGCATTGCACAGACTTGAACCAAAGTAACAGTTTTCAGACCAGTCCCCTTCAGCGTCTGAAATAATAGATCAATAGTTAAATAGCATAATGAACTTCTCTACTACAATTAATTAATAAAAGTTAACGTTAGAATCAAACCGTCGAAAATATCAGGCCTTAACTCTTAAGATGCAACGCATTGGAATATTCTGTCGTGGTGTTCTATTAGAAATCGGAATGCTTAAAAAAGAGCTTTAGATATAAGATTTTATTTCTCAAATCAAGTTCAGACTTACAAGCAGCAACAAGAATAACAAAACAAACTGCAATTGCCAACTTCATAGTTCAATCTCCAATCAGTCACAAACTCACTAATAATATAAGATACCAACAGTTTACAAAATCTCTGGTCCAAATACTATTCTTTACCTTTATATTCTCCTGGTCAGGTGTGATAAGTCACACTTCAGAATCACGTGAAATCACGTGATGTCTGCCGAGGAACAAATCTCACTTCCACTCTTCTTCCCAGGTGCAAACGAGATAATTAGACAAGATTCAATTCGGTTCAATTTAATTGTCAAACTCAACTCAATTACACGACGTGAACTAGGTTAAATAGAGATTAGTTGATGTTAAGAAGTAGTGAACTGTAGATTTAGTAAAATTGTCGGTCCCACTACATCTGTTGCAGTAATAAAGAGCTGCACAATTTAAACAGACCACGCACGTGGTACGTCATCTGTTTCGTTAGTCTACTCGAACTATGAGCCCTCTCATTTAAAATTAATTTTAAATTAATTCCAGGTGTAGGGTGATAAGGTAGAACGGGTGACGGAATTGTAAATAAGAAACTCCTATCATCATTATAAAGTATATCGTTGAATTAGATCTAAATTGGTATAAATTTGGTGGATGTTTTTGAGACGGCAGCTAGTGGGAATTATTGAGATATGTTGAATCGTCAATGAAGGGAATATTCAATTGATATGACTGGTACGTAGCATAATATTGGGGGGGGGGGGGGGGGGGGGGTGTCATGTCCGTCTATGTCCACCTATGTCCTGTCCTTTTTGGATTCTAGACAACGGACGTGTTTTTTGGGACATTGGCGGACACGGACGGACATTGGCTGACTCGGACGGACATTGGCGGACTCGGACGGACATTGGCGGACTCGGACGGACATTGGCGGACCCGGACGGACATTGGCGGACTTGGATGGACATTGGTGGACATTAGCGGACATTGGTGGACATTAGCGGAAAAACATTTTGAGGACTGAAGAGTACTGAAGAGTACTGAAGAGTACTGAGGAGGATGGCTGAGAAGGATGGCTGAGGAGGATGGCTGAGGAGGATGACTGAGGAGGATGACTGAGGAGGATGACTGAGAGGGAGGAGAAGGATCAGGAAGACCCACGAGGAGGAGGAGGAGGAGGACCCAGAAGGAGGACCTAGGAGGAGGAGGAGAACTGAGGAGGATGACTCAGGAGGAGGAGGACTCAGGAGGACTGAGGAGGACTGAGAAGGAGGAGGACTGAGGAGGATGGCTGAGGAGGATGGCTGAGGAGGATGGCTGAGGAGGATGACTGAGAGGGAGGAGGAGGAGGAAGAGGAGGAAGAGGACTGAGGAGGAGGAGGAGAAGGACTGAGGAGGAGAAGGAGGACCCAGGAGGAGGAGGACCCAGGAGGAGGACCCAGGAAAAGGCCCCAGGAGGAGGAGGAGGACTGGGGAGGAGGAGAACTGTTGAGGACTGATGAGGAGGACTGAGGACGAGGAGGAAGAGTAGGAGGAGGACTGAGGAGGGGAGGAGGAAGAGAACTGGGGAGGATCAGGAAGACCCAGGAGGACCCAGGTCCCAGGAGGAGGAGGAGGAGGAGGACCCAGGAGGAGGAGGAGGACTGAGGAAGACTGAGGAGGACTGACGATGACTGAGAAGGAGGAGGACTGAGGAGTACTGAAGAGGATGGCTGAGGAGGATGGCTGGGGAGGATAGCTGAGGAGGATGACTGAGGAGGATGACTGAGGAGGATGACTGGAGGAGGACTCAGGAAGAGGACTTAGGAGAAATGAGAAGGAGGACTGAGGAGAACTGAGGAGGAGGAGGAGGAGGACTGAATAGGAAGAGGAGAAGGAGGGGGACTGGGAGAGGACTGGGGAGGAGGAGGACTGATGAGAAGGATGAGGAGGAGGACCCAGGAGGAGGAGGAGGACTGAGGACCGAGGAGGAAGAGGAGGAGGATGAAGAGGAGGAGGAGGACCCAGGAGGAGGAGGACTGAGGAGGAGGACTGAGGAGGATCGAGGAGGACTGAGGAGGATGGCTGAGGAGGATGACTGAGAGGGAAGAGGAGGAGGAGGAGGAGGAGGAGGAGGAGGACTGAGGAGGACTGAGAAGGAGGAGGAGGAGGAGGAGGACTGAATAGGAGGAGGAGGAGGGGGACTGGGGGAGGACTGAGGAGGAGGATGGAGGACTGAGGAGGAGGAGAACTGAGGAGGATGACTCAGGAGGAGGAGGACTCAGGAGGAGGACTGAGGAGGACTGAGAAGGAGGAGGACTGAGGAGGATGGCTGAGGAGGATGGCTGAGGAGGATGACTGAGAGGGAGGAGGAGGAGGAAGAGGAGGAGGAGGACTGAGGAGGATCGAGGAGGACTGAGGAGGATGGCTGAGGAGGATGACTGAGAGGGAAGAGGAGGAGGAGGAGGAGGAGGAGGACTGAGGAGGACTGAAGACTGAGGAGGAAGAGGAGGAGGATGAAGAGGAGGAGGAGGACCCAGGAGGAGGACTCAGGAGGAGGAGGACTGGGGAGGAGGAGGACTGTTGAGGACTGATGAGGAGGACTGAGGACGAGGAGGAGGAGTAGGAGGAGGACTGAGGAGGGGAGGAGGAAGAGGACTGAGGAAGATCAGGAAGACCCAGGGGGAGGAGGAGGAAGAGTAGGAGGAGGAAGCATCTAAATGTTATTTCCATTTTTGTCCGTTTTTGTCCATTTTTGTCCGTTTTTGTCCGCTCTATTTGTTGTCCGTTTTGAAAATATAGGGTACCGAACGGACAAAAAACATGACCCCCTTATAACAGCAAAAATTGAACATTTTATTTAGCAATTTAGGTGTCCATTGTTAATGTCCACCTATGTCCGCCTATGTCCGCCTATGTCCGTCTATGTCCGCATATGTCCGCCTATGTCCGCCTATGTCCGCCTATGTCCGCCTATGTCCGCCTATGTCCTGTCCTTTTTGGATTCTATGAGACAAGCGGACATAGACGGACGTGACACCCCCCCCCCCCCCCCCCCCCCCAATATTATAGGGGGAAATTTATTGATTTTAAAACGTGCCTTCATGAGATAAGCTCCTTCACGGAGACAATAGTCTAATATAAATCTGCAACCAGTTACCAGCACTCCAGCAGCTGTTTCATTAAAATTAAATCTCTATCTTACATGATATGATACTGCTATATGCACGGGCTACCTGCTGTATCAGTGGAACGAAATTACGAATATGCACGTGTGATGAAATTGAGCAGGTTGGTTACTGACGTTTTACTAATGCTCCGCAACTAAATTTAATTAATTTTTGAAGGGAGGTGGTTTAATGAGTAATTTCAGGCCAGCTGACTAAAGGTCAGCTGAAGGTCACTAATTTATAAACTCGGTACATCATGTTCATCACTCACTTCTCTTAAAGCTTCACTCTATCTAAAGCTTCACTACCAACTTGCCAAGGTCTCAGTAATGATTTTCGGAAAAGCAGATCTTAACATAACTAAACTTTCTGAACATTACCAAAAACAGTACGAAGAATTGGTACCTGATCTAACGGACGAAACTAAAACTTCTGAATCTGTTGCAAACTATTCCCTAGGCCTTGTAATGATTGCTTCGTTTCTCATCTCCTCGACAACGAATCCAATCTTGCTCTGGATCAACTGGCAATCAGATAAAAGACGGAAACTGTCCATCGTCCTCTTCATGATGTTAGCCATATCAGACTTTCTGACAAACATCTCAAAGCCCTTACGTGTTGCAGAGAATATGCTGACAGGTAAGACTTTACCAGTTCTCCGAAACGGAACACGTTTTGAACAAGCTGAAAGTGTTTCCTTCCTGTTGACGAGTTTCTCATCCTTGATTCTGACGACGTTCATTGCAGTCTGCCGATTTTTCAGTGTGAGATTCCCTTTTCTCGAGATGCAGTCGAAACTCGTCTTAGGACTTTTCATCACATGTATGGTGTCATATTTGGCATATATTTGGCTAATAGTAGTAGGATTTGGTGAAAATCGAATAGAAAATGGCAAATTGTTATGGTTTTTGCACTGTCAACTCATATTCAGCTACAAAGAAGCTGGCTATGGTACAAATTGGTTCTATTTCAAAACAGCTCTGCCAGCCACCGTTACATTAGTAGGAGTCTTGTTCTCAGCGTGGACCATTCTTCTGCTGGTAAAGAAGAAGACTGTTGACACAAGAGAATCCTCACGGAAAAGATTACAATCTGCCTACGCTGTGGTGGTAATGAACATTGGGAATATTATAGCATCAGCTATTGTAATTCTTTACCAACTCTACCAGTCTCGCATACCAGTCATCAACTTTTTGGGTGCATGTGGATGTTACATAATCTTATCAGCAATGAATCCTTTGATAAGAATATATTTCAGCTCCGGAAATAGAGAAAAGATATCAGACATGGCAAGTGGTTCCTTGAGATATGGTCACAGCAGTATCATAAGAGTAATGTCAAAGTACCGCAGCAACGAGACAGAAGTGACGGAAGATGGAGCAAGCCCAATGAGTGAATGAACAGCATATCAGCGAGCTATGGGATATTGATAAAATAAATTTGGGGTCAATTATAATTATCAATCCCACATGGGATTGATAATTATAATTGACCCCAAATTTATTTTATCAATAACAGAATACTGCAGTGAGAATTGAACAATATTACAATAGTAACAATATTACATATATCTTATTATTATTATCATTTTAATTCTGCACGGACATAATTTCTAGGGTGGAATGACTGTATTTTTAGTCCCTGTCCTATTTTGATTTTCTCTGAGGGAATCATTTGGACAACTCTCTGCACTGCATCTGAGTTAAATGTTTAGAAATATGTATAATATAGAAACCACGAATTACTGTACCACAACCCCAATTTACTGCGATCATTTCCTTTTCTCTAATTCACGATGACTTTAAATACATTATTTGTACAATCAAAATTCCGATTTACCCCAAACCCCAATTTACCGAACAATTTGAGGTTTTAGTATGTTTGTTATTAATATTACTTTACTAATTATTGATTGACATTATATTATTTACTGTTATACTTATATCTTATTAGAAACAGACTAAAATCACGCAAGATATAGATTTATCAAATATTATTATTCAAAACCATTTCTTTCATTTTCTGTTCATTCAACAATTGAGACTTCAAATATTATAATGTAATAGCATAACTTTTGATGGATTTAGATTCTAGCACAGCAGATTATTTTGAAATAACTTTAGGTGTTTAGAAACATTATAATTAATAATGGAGTGCAGTCAGAGAAGTCAAAAAACAGTACTATAGCTATGTGATCAACAGGTACATATAAATATATATAAGAATTATTCAAACAATATACACATAATATAGCAATGACCCTATATAAAAATAATTATAATTATAATAATTCTGTAAAAATGGTACAAATTTAAAAACTGAGGTAAAATAAAACTCTTTGTAATAATATATGTAAAATCCACTAAATCACATCACAACAAAAAGGAGTTTAGACCACCATCCAACAAGCATTCCATGACCTTTTAGGGTTTAAGAGTGTTGATCAGGTTAAGGTCCAAATCACTTATTGCCGTGGGTGGAAGGGTTCTGGTACCTCTGTACCCCCTCATAGAGATTATATAGGTTCTGAGTAGATCAAAACGCAGTCTGCGTCAGTGGCGTAACTTTGCCTGTTGGCGCCCCCCGCTCAGTGAAAAAAAGCACCCCCCCTAAAATTTTTTGTGTCCCTAAAAAAAAAAAAAAAAAAAAAAAAAAAAGGTCGGGTACTTTTTTTGGCGCCCCCCTAAGGCTTTTTGCGCCCCCCTGAAGCAAAAAAGGTACCCCAAATATTTTTTCGCGTCGACCGAACGCTAAATTGGACAGGGAAATACACAAACAAGGCGTTTTTTCAGTGAAAGGGCCTAAAATTCAGGAAAATTGCGCCCCCCTTATACGGCGCCCCCCCCCCCCCCCCCCCCCCCCCCCCGCACAGCGGGGTATGCGGGGACCTAAGTTACGCCACTGGTCTGCGTCTGACAAATGACATCACATCACAATACCGTTGGCCTTTCTTTAGGCTGATCTTTTCAGCGAGATGTTTTAGGAACTGTGAAGCCTCGGTTGCCATTCCTCCTGTAGTACTGAACACCAGTGGCGTGAAGGAAGCCTTTTCAACATTTAGGACTCTGTCATTGTACATATAAATATCCATCTCCAAAACCAGTGACTATATATAGTCATACTATATATATTATGAACCATCACCAGCATAATGACCAGCATTCTAATTTACTGATTTAAATTCCAGGATTCTCTTTGATCTATGCAACATTACACATGTGTATAACATCTTTTCGAATCACACAACGGGTAAACATGATGGAAGGGCCATCATAGCCAAAAAATTAAGTATCTATATCTTGGGTTGTACTGGATGTAACAAGTTTATTATCGGATGTCTACTTATATTTATTATGATATCATTATTCATTGTAATGGCAATAAAATTTAAATTTTGTTTTACTTAAAATTTTGTTTTACTTAATTCTGTGTTCAATTATGCATTGCTACAGTTAAATTTGTGATGCTCGGCGCGGCCCAGAATTTTTGAAATAAATACTTATTAAATTAACTGCAGGCGGCAATCATCCCGCCGCCCTGTGCGCGGCGCTATTCTCAAATTTCCACGTACTGAAAGGATCCAGCAATTTAGACTAACAAGCCAAATAACGTGACGACAGTTTTTAGAACTGAGCCATCAATTTTCAGGGTAAGCAAATCAATTTTATTCAATCTTCATGGTCGCAAATCAATAAATGACTTGTCATACGTTGTATGACCGGCCGCCGCGCACGAGTGCGCGGCTCCCCTGAATCGTAAAAAGGATAAAGGGGTTTTACTTAGTAAAACGACCGTGGTATGGGGGTCACGACGTGATACAAAAAATGACAAAGCTAAATTGCAATCTGACAATTACGATTGAAGTAAGTTTTAGTTAAATTGGTAATTTACTGAGGATTGGGTAATGATATATCTTTTCACTTTTCAGTAGTATATATTTTAAAGTTCCTTGATACATGTTCAATGTTACGTATCCCAAATATCAGAGATATATATACGCCTTCGGTGGCGCGCGCTTCGTGCGCGAAAAGTGGCATGCAACGTATGTCAAAAAGTTCCCTTCAATACGCTCTTAAGTAAATGTTATTTTGTGAGTGCTGTAAATTTTTATTATCTCGACGGTTGTTAATTTCTCAGGTGGTTTTCAATGTTTATTCCTAAACTTCAATCTCATTCCTCAAAAGACGAGCTTTGAGGTCTTTTAAGTTTGTTTATGTAAATTTTATAAATAATTTATTGTAGCTTTTATATTGTGTAAAATTTTACGGACGAAATGATCCCAGGGGATACTCCCAACCCACCACCTCGGCGGGTAGTTGATACACCTTTCACAAGCAAGAGCCACTTTGGTCTACTTGCTGTGAGGTGTCTCAGTTACATGGGTTGGGGGTCCCCCCTTTTTTCTTTTTTTAAATTCCTAAACTAAGCTAATCAGTAGTTTGAAAAATGTTGTCTACTTTTGATGAACAATGTATGTTTTGCATGCATTTTATTTGGACATTTTTTTTGAGATTGTATTTAGGGCTGTGCTCAAATGAGCAAATTCAAACTCTGCCAAGTTTTATCAGCAATAGTGACATAATTGCTTTGTAACTGCCACACTGAAAGTTCGCCCAGAGTCCTTCCTCATCTGCTCCAAGATTGGATGTCAAAGATTATTAGACAAAATTGAATGCTTGCAGTGGCGTAATGTTGCCTGTTGGTGCCCTTGCTGAAGAAGTGCCCCCTATGATGTTGCCCCCTGCAAAGTGTGGTCGGCGGGGCCCTTCGTTACGCCACTACCTGTCCAGAAAGTCTTTTAATTTCTATTGATAAACTATTACAGGGGCTAGGCGGCCTAGTGGTTAGAGCATCGGCCTTCTGCGCGCAGAAGGTCCAGGGTTCAAATCCCAGTGTCACCTAGTCTATGGAGTAGTTAAGGATTCATTGGACCTATGCAATCCCTCGGTGAACTCAGCCGAATGATAGGAAACTTGATTGAGGGTTAAATGAGGAGGGGTACCTGTTAAAAGTTCAGGAAACTTGCTAGGATACCCTTCAGTACATACTGTAAACATAGTACTATTACTATTACTATTATACTATTATTACAAAACTAGAAGTTGTTTATTCTGTCTAAGTTACCATTGACTTTAAGGAGATTAGGGCAACATTAGTTGTCATAACCTTAAGATGTGCAATTTTCAAGTTAAAAGTATCTTTTGCAGCTGAGCAGAAGGGTTGAATTCTAATTATTATATCCTTTTTGTGATGTATAAAATAGCATTTATTTATTAAATTTATTATTTATTAATTGAGTTTCCCACATGTCTATTATAGCTGTCTACTTTGATCTTTGTTCACTGATTTTGAATTGCAGTCCATGGATGTGATCAAAGAATAATTTCTCTTAATTCTTGATTATCAGTAGCATAGGATGACATGGAATCAGATATTGTATGTGAAGGTTATCTAACAAAGGCTCCTCCTCTTGATCAACCAAGAAGTGTAAGTGTTTTACTATTTAGACATGGCCCCTTAATTTGAAACATTTCCTAGCCCTTTTCAAGATTATAACTTCTAAATTTGATGCTATTTTGCTTTGACAATACATTCAAACCTCTTTATATACCGAGTTTCATGGGGAAAAGAAAAGTGAAAGGTAAAGAAAAACCTTGCATAGAGAGATTTGCATGAAATCAATCTGTAGCCTCTCAAATAATCTGTCTCATAAACACCATTAGGGCCTTATATGGATTATTGTGTCAATGCAGCTCTGTGTGTACAAAAATCACCAATGAAATGCGTCGTGAGCTATGATAAGTCACAATTCTTGCACAAAACAAGCTTATTAACGAAAAGGTTTGGGGAAAAGAAGAGGTCCAGTATATCGAGGTACCCAGATCAGAGAAGCATGGCATATAGAGGTTCTTAGCACAATAAACCATTTATAAACACATTATTCAGCCTTCATTCAACATGATTTGTAAAAAAGCTATGTTCTTAGTAAATCATTAATATCATAAAAATTATAAAGTTTAGAGATCTTTTGAATTTCAAAAGACAAATCGTGATAAAAGTCGAATTTATTGAATTTATTGTCATCATCTTCGATTTATGTTATATAATTATAGGTAAACAAACTGAGCTTGATTTATGCTGACTCTATTCATTCTGCTAGAACTTTTGGGTTAAATAGCTTAAAAAATACATGTTAACATTTTGTTCACTTTTTGTCCAGTTAAAACTGTAGTATACACTATGTATGTAGTAACAAAAAGAGTTCAAATAAATAAGTTCGTATAATAAAACCTCATATAATAATTACCTCATCCTCCTTGTGTGTGTGATTGAATAAAAGTAATGCTGGAAGTGAGCACCTTTACAGACTGCTGCTCCGGTAACAATGAACCAGGTACTGGCCCTTTAATACAGGTACAGTCACGTGATGTTACTTCTATTGTCGTATCAATAGCTCCCAGAGGAATTCCAAGCTTCTTTGTTCTGTCTGCACTGTGTCCAATTGTGCTTCTCTTTTAGCAGCGTGCAGCTGGGGAAATGCAATGTGTATCATGTGCTGTAACAACTTCTCCAACCTCTATAAATGTGACGCTAGTGCGAGTTCATTTAGTGTAGTGTTTAGGACCACTTTCTTAAGGGGAATGTTTGAAATGAGATGCTATTGGAACACAGTATTAGGAATAAAAGAGAGTGACACACACCAATGTAGTACCACTGATACACTACCGGTAACCGGAATTATGAAATATCCATTGAACAGTTATGTGACATAAACAAGAACACAACCCTACACCATGGTTTACTAGTCTAGATTTACTCGTCTAAGTTTCCCAAATTCAGCTAGCTGACCCGAGTGGGGGGAGATTCACCTGACAGTTTATTGACAGTGTGATGATATTGTGGTGTTAGGGTTTCCGACCTGTCAATCTTGCAATCTCCACACCCCAGTGGGTGCAACAGTAACCATAGCAACATTTACCATAGTACCAGTAACCATAGCAACAGTAACCATAGTACCAGTGACTATATCAACTACATGGTTATAATTAGCATGACACCCGTACCGGTGCTAGTGAACGGTATTTACAGTACTAGAAACACACTCACCATAGCTTACTTTATAAATTATGCCCCCACTTGTGACTTGGCTCGATAGTAATCTTAAATGATAATCTCAATAAATCTGTGTGTGTGTGTGTGTGTGTGTGTGTGTGTGTGTGTGTGGGAAATTTCCGAGCGATTATTTTTTTTAAACGGTAAGAGTTACGGGACTGGTTTTTTCGGTATAGTGCCGACAAAACTCTGACGAAGCCAATAAGCAAATTTTTTAAAAATCGGCCTGTGGTAAGTGGCTTAATTGATGGTTTTGTACCACTAATGCGACATAAAATGGCTCACATTTTCTCTCTCTTCGCTCTCTCTTCCATTACTGCATATTAAAATATTATGTAGCGTTGGTACGCGAATCATAATTAGGTTAGCCCCATAATACTATAAGCTTATTAGGGGGGATTGCACTGATTACGGTCTGTTTGGACTGTAGAGAGTTCATACTTTCATCCGACAATGTTATGCGTGTTTTCAAATATAATAGGCGGGTTTATACTTTTGCATTTCCACTGCGATAGCGAAGTCCCGGCCGTAGGCACGGGTTACACAAGTCAATTAATTAAAAAATATGACATCTTAAGGTTTTTGAGGTTTGTAACATTTAAATATTTCTGGTAGCAATATCACGTAAAAACGAACTGAGGTTAAGATCTTCTCGCTGAGCCTTGATATTAGTTGTACACCTAACAGCAAAGCTAGATATAAATAAGATATCATCACACGTGTTACCACGTGTTACCATCACACGTGTTACCACGTGATACCATCACACGTGTTACCACGTGATACCATCACACGTGTTACCACGTGATACCACGTGTTACCACGTGTTACCACGTGATACCATCACGTGAAGTTGACTGCAATAGGATACACTCAGTGTAAACTGTACACTAAGTAGCTAAGCATTTGACTCGTAGGTCTGGCCTTTAAAACTCTGAAAATGAATGTATTACTATTTTGTAATTAATGTACTCTGAAAATTAAATAGTGAGTTATATTACTAGGATGATGAATTAGTGATGAAAATAATTAATGGTGGTAATCACAGGGGATGGAAACGCAAATGAGGGTATAATTAATTGTTTGCAAGCACCACATAGATTATATAATTATGTTTGATCGACTTGTAGTTCAACATAATAATTTTCTTTTAAAAGTCCAAATACCTATTTTGAGTTTCCTTAGTTTTTATCACGCAAATGTACGTCTTCTTTTTTACCGTCGTCTATTGTGTGTTTTATTTTGCAATACAATAGTTTAACATGATAGGACAATAACTTATAGTGTATCATGGAATGGCCCCTTCCTCTGCAACGTAAGGATACAGCTACATTACTCACACTACACTACTACACTACTACACTACATTACTCACACTACACTACATTACACTACACTACACTACACTACACTACATTACTCACACTACACTACATTACACTACACTACACTACATTACTCACACTACACTACATTACACTACGCTACACTACATTACTCACACTACACTACTGAGACTTAATTGTCATGCCGAATCTATCTTCTTGGTCTCTAGAGGGAAAAGCAGTGAAATTAATTGGTAATTAATTGGTAATTGGTAAGGTACACTTATCAAATAAAGTTTCTTTTCTGCACCAACGTGCGAGATCTAAACGTTATTTGTTTCAGAAATGGTGCTACCGATATTTCACCTTACACAAGGCCGACCTAGTTTTAAAGTAAGTCTTCACTTTCACATTGATATTTATTTTACATTACGTATTACACATCCTCCATCCGATTGGATAATATTTGCTTTTTACTTGTTTCATTGTATCGTAATATTCAAAGTAAAAAAGTACACTCCCTTCCGTTGTCAATTGTCATTGACAGGTGCGGTTTCATTTAGATTGGATATGAAGTAAGATATTGAAGAATGAACAATTAATTCCATCATTGCTCATTTTGGTTTGGAAGTATTTCAAAATAATTGACATTGCTTCCAGGTACTTCAAAGATAAACAAGCGAGAGAAAAGAGTGCTGGAAAGAAAGGTGAGGCACTGAAGCTGGTATAAAACTGAAATCTGCTCATTTCCCGTGCTTTGCTGTGGTATATTTATGCTGTAGTATATTAATTTTATATAAACATATAAAAATGTTAATATTGCACAGCTGTTTAGCAGCCGTCAACCGCATGGTCATCTACTTGAACAATCTTAGTACTCATATTCATAAATCATATTATTCATATTATTCAAACTGCATATCATTGTACTGTCATTGAATGTTAATACACTTTTCTACAAACCTATCGTAATGAGATTGAAAGTATTTCACGCTGATTTGTCCCTACCCCACTTTCATCAAGCAATAATGGACCTTTACTGATAGTTGAAATTCGACATATGACGTCATCTAGCGTCATCTAGCGTCATCTAGCGTGAAATATCGCCAGATGATGATAGATGACGCTAGATGACGCTAGATGACGCTAGATGACGCCAATTAGCGACATTGTCGCTAAGTGCACGGCACCTTTCGAATGTCGCTATCTAGCGCTATCTAGCGCTATCTAGCGCTATCTAGCGCTATATGACGCTATATGACGCTATATGACGCTAGATGACGCTAGATGACGCTAGATGACGCTAAGCACGCAGCACTGACGCCAGGCGACAGATAGCGCTATTTTCATAAAATTTCCGCCCTTTTTTTTGCGACATCTAGCGCTATCTAACGCTATATGTCGCAACGACATCTGACGCAGCGCTATCTAGCGCTATCTAGCGCTATCTGGCGCTATCTAGCGGAGAATGTCGGTTTGTGACAGTTTACGCTAGATAGCGCTAGATAGCGCTATCTAGCGCTAGATATCGCGGCGACAGCTAGCGCTAGATAGCGCTATCTAGCGTAAACTGTCACAAACCGACATTCTCCGCTAGATAACGCTTGTTAGCGCTAGATAGCGCTATCTAGCGGAGAATATCGGTTTGTGACAGTTAACGCTAGATAGCGCTAGATAGCGCTATCTAGCGCTAGATATCGCGGCGACAGCTATAGCTATGGCTATAGTTGTTAAACGTTAAATATCTAACGTTGGTTATAAGTTTTATTTTTAACGTTGCAAAACGTTTATTATTTGACGTCAGATCAAGGTTACCTTATTAACTATAAGCAGAGTTTAAAATTCAACTACATTTTAAAGTTGTATGTAGGTTACATATAAAACGTTGTTAAACGTTAAATATCTAACGTTGGTTATAGGTTTTATTTTTAACGTTGCAAAACGTTTATTATTTGACGTCAGATCAAGGTTACCTTATTAACTATAAGCAGGGTTTAAAATTCAACTACATTTTAAAGTTGTATGTAGGTTACATATAAAACGTTGTTAAACGTTAAATATCTAACGTTGGTTATAGGTTTTATTTTTAACGTTGCAAAACGTTTATTATTTTACGTTAGATCAAGGTTACCTTATCAACTATAAGCAACGTTCAAAACTCAACTAAATTTTAACGTTGTATGTAGGTTACATATAAAAACTTTGCCGGCTGGTATAGGCTTAGACTAATATTTTGAGAAAAAGCGGCGCGTGATAGTAAATTACGAGTATCACCCGTTAACGAGTGAGATTCGTCCAGTATAACCTGTTTATGCTCTAACCATAGCCCTCTCGCTAGTAGTACGCTTAGACACATGGCTATGTGAAAGAAGATGATGTAAAGATCTAAATGTTAAATTAGCATTTGCAAATTAATAGTATTGAAATCTCGCACAGCAAGTTATTAAAAGAATGTAATGAGAGTCGAGCCGAATTTATTGTTCAGTAATCACATATATCGTACCCACGAGTTTTCAGTTTACGAACTACGCGCAAGTGTGAAGTGCAAGCGCGAAAGCTTTAGTGCAATTTAGCTACGAAAATACCAAAACCCTTAAAATGATATGCGATGCATTCAGTATTTAGAATTAATATATTATAAATTTATAAGTTATGTCAATCCTTTTACCTGGGGACCCAGGCTATTATGTACATGTTCATAAACATTAAGATTTGGCGAATAAAGATTTGGCGGAATGACAGGCTGAGCGCGGCCCAGTAACAATCCTCGGGATCGGAATTATTTTGGATAAATACTTTACAGCTTTGAGCTTCGAGTAATCTATTTGACGATGTTTGTTGTAGCGCGATGCACTACTGGGCCGCGCCGCGCAGCCAATAATATAATGCTTCTTGCAACCACTAGTGCTTTACTAAACATACTTGGTCAGTACGTTACTGTATGTACGAACTTTTAAAAGGTGTCGAACTGTACAAATTTTAAAAAGCTGTCGAGGAATTTTTACCGAATTTTTAAAAAAATTTTTGTTTTTTAATCAGTAATCACTTCAGTCCGAAAAATTTGTTATTTTTGTCCGGGAGGTTACATTTCAGATTTAAAATATTAACATGCATCCGCACGTCATCGTTTCCCGCCATTTTAACACAAATTTTTGCAATTAGCTTTTTATTATATATTTCGAAAATTTATGAGGCGAATTTTTCCCAAACTAATCCCGAACTGAAAAAACGTGCCGAACTGTACGAATTTTTTACGACTTTTGTACGAACTGACCAACTATGTTACTAAATTGGCGATATGCACCATGACTGGGCCTCGCCGAGCTGTGAACATGAACAGTGAAGGATTGACATCGTGAATCAACGCGATGCGTTACTGTGAGTGTGTCGCGCCGCGCATCCAAAAATGCTTCTCGGTATCCAATAATGCTTTTCGGCGAAATGCACCACTGAGCTGTGAAAGATTGGCATCATGAATCAACGATGTTAGTAACTTGTATAAATTTCGTCGAAATAGTACGTGCCGCTTTCTTCCGATCCCGAAATGTTAAGGGTCGACGGTCGTTTACATATTAGTATTACGTAATCAGCTGAGGAGGTTGGGGTTTTCAAATGATTATTGATTACGCTAGTGTAATATTGACATAAATATAATAGCTATGGTAAAACTGATTACGGGGTATGTGAACGACCCCTCATTGTTAGTAATCAGTTCCATACATAGCTATTAAGCTATTAGTATTATGTCACAATCACACTAGCGAGCGTAATAATTTGGAAAACCCCGGCCGGCGGCATCAGGCCCTTTATATAATTATAATATGTAAACGACCCCTTGATTAAGTGATATTTAATATTTTGTTCCACTCAGCCGAATATTTGATAAATCGAGTGTAATAGTTGGGTGACTTCGACGAGCCGCGCAAGCTTATAGTTATATCATTTGCATTCTCACTTAAATTATAATTAATTTTCATACACAGTAAAAATTAATTTTCATATAAAATAAAAATAACAAAAAAGATTGGGTGGGAAAAGACAGGCTGCGCTTACGGTCCCAGTAAAACACACACACACACACACACACACACACACACACACACACACACACACACACACACACACACACACACACACACACACACACACACACACACACACACACACACACACACACACACACACACACACACACACACACACACACACACACACACACACACACACACACACACACACACACACACACACACACACACACACACACACACACACACACACACACACACACACACACACACACACACACACACACACACACACACACACACACACACACACACACACACACACACACACACACACACACACACACACACACACACACACACACACACACACACACACACACACACACACACACACACACACACACACACACACACACACACACACACACACACACACACACACACACACACACACACACACACACACACACACACACACACACACACACACACACACACACACACACACACACACACACACACACACACACACACACACACACACACACACACACACAGAGAGTTAGGATTACTGTTACTGTGATAGGATATGATATCTTGTGCTATATGTAGCGACGAAATCTAACGCAGCGACATATAGCGCTAGATAGCGACATCTAGCGCTAAATAGCCTGGACTGTCACGACCCAAAATTCTTCGCTATTTAGCGCTATCTAACGCTATTTAGCGCTATCTAACGCTATCTAGCGCTATATAGCGCTAGATAGCGTGAACTGTCGTAAACTGACTTATCCCGCTATCCAGCGCTTGATGTCGCCTGCGTCAGATGTCGTCGCGACAGATGTCGTCAGATGACGTCAGATATCGCTAGATGGCGTCAGATAGCGTCAGATGTCGCGGCAACATATGACGCTAGATGACGCTAGATGTCGTCCCTAGAATTTTTATGAAAATAGCGCTATCTGTCGCCTGGCGTCAGTGCTGCGTGCTTAGCGTCATCTAGCGTCATCTAGCGTCATCTAGCGTCATATAGCGTCATATAGCGTCATATAGCGCTAGATAGCGCTAGATAGCGCTAGATAGCGCTAGATAGCGACATTCGAAAGGTGCCGTGCACTTAGCGACAATGTCGCTAATTGGCGTCATCTAGCGTCATCTAGCGTCATCTAGCGTCATCTATCATCATCTGGCGATATTTCACGCTAGATGACGCTAGATGACGCTAGATGACGTCATATGTCGAATTTCAACTATCAGTAAAGGTCCGCAATAATTACTCTCAGGCGAGGTGGGCAAAGCTAAAGGGGAGATTCTTCTTGCAGCTGTACAGAGAATTAATGATACATCTGAACATGCTCTTGTTAATCACTGTGAGTATTTTAATTGCCTGATAATTGTTTAATTAATTTGATTTTTACCGGTTTTTGAAATGAAGATTATCTCTTTATGTGTCATAAATTTTAGGTTTATATTGAATTGTTGCAAATAGGCCGAAAGCAGCGATTGGAGCTTTTTTTAAAGGAGGACAACAGTACTGTATATAATATTGTATAAGCTTCAAAATATGGTCTCAGTGGTACCTTTGGAGCATAAAAACTTTCAGTAAATTAGATAATTGATATTCCCTCTGATATGACCTCACATGAAGAACCGGGGAAGTCTATTAAGCTGGTTTTTATTTTAAATATGGTATAAAAACACCAGATTCTCTGTCACCAGCAAGTTTTAAATTTATACGAAATTTTATGTGGGCTATAAATAACAAGGGTGGACTCCCCTTTTTAAAATAGGTGTAAAATGGCGAATTTACTGAACCATTTCACAGCTCTAATATTTGCTGGGGTTCTAATTGGTTATAAGTCATTAGACTTGTTACAAACTATTTATCGTGATCTGATAACATTTTGTGGTGGCATCTCATCGTCAAATATCAGATTTAAAAAGTTTCCTGTCGACAGAGCAGTCTGATGACCTTCACGGCCTCCCCCCTTTCACGCTTGAGAGCACTTCAGCTTCAATATGTTGTGCTTCAATCAGGATGTGTTGCGTGTGCACAGTTTATACTTGTATAGCTTTAAAAACTCAAAAAAAAGAAGCCCATTACAAGTCGGTTTATGACATGTTAGTGATGTAAATCCCCTTTGGTGAAAACTTAGCGTACTGTATTCAAATATTATATTACTCTTAAATCAAATATATTTTCTTTGATCGTTGATCTATTTAGGCTTTTACTAATACCATGCTTACACATCCTTTAGAGCATAATTTGCTAGATCTACTAAATGCTTCATCGTTAAATTATAGGATCACGGAAATTCATTTACGTTTATAAATCCATTGTAATAAGTACTAAGTAGATTATAATTAATAGATTATAATCGACCTTAATCGCATAGATTATTAGTCCTTACTTATAAGGACTATATTTATATAGTTTATATTTTTTATTTATTTTGATAATCCTTTTATGTTCAATTCCTCTTTCGGTTGTCCCCCAATTTACACTGCGTAGAGCATACATATTTTATAGAGGTACGATCTCTGCTGTACGATCTCTGCTGTCAATATTATCCACAGACTTTCTCAGCACCCTCCCCGCCTCTTCTTAATATGATATGCAGAGTTCTGCTTATCTGCAAACTGATCGTCACCTCCTGAGCTCCGTTTTGTGGGGACTATTACCGTATCTTGTCATCACTAATTGGCTCTAATCACCTGTAATTACGTAATTAAACTTAATCACTTCCAATTACCGCTAATCATTCTCTTATCTAACACGTGTGTTTTGACTAGTGAGAACAACTTATGGAAGTACTGTAAATCCTTCTAGAAGAACTGTCACACTTGCTCACGTGACGTCACACTTGCTCACGTGACGTCACACTTGCTCACGTAACGTCACACTTCCTCACGTGACGTCACTCTCCCTCACGTGACGTCACTCTTCCTCACGTGACGTCACACAGACCAGTTTCCCTGTGTTTCTCTGTGTCTACTCCAGTCATCTCAGTGGAGACATCAGGTCCGCAGTAATGGTATCTTGTCAGTAGTGTACTGCCGGTAAGGCTTGATAACGACCCCTTAATGTCGGGTCATTGATATCTTGTCAGGACATAGTGGGAACATGTTAACATATAACAGGTATAATTATATTAGATAATAAGGGGTATTATGTAGTATCTTGCGGTAAAGATGATATCTTATATTGACTTGTTACATGTATCACCCAGTGTCTCGTCACCCAGTGTCTTGTGGGGTTGTAGTGGTTCGACTCCTCCTCTTGCGTGTTTCCTTTTCAGTTGTCGTGCTTGATAGTGTTGATAATTTAAAAGGGGATGATCACTGTCAGTTGCCACAAGAAGGAGTTTTTAGCACACCGTATCAGATACGGCGTATCCCTTCCAGTTTCTTGTGATCAGGAACCAGGCCTACCCACCACTGAAAGCTTATATTGTATACTGTTAAGGGTTCGACCATGTACAATCAACAAAGTACATAATTGTATGAAACTAGAGGATAAACCCACTGAAATCCGAGTCCAGTCTGACAGCCCATAACCCAGCCATACGTTTCAAACGAAACCCAACTCGTTCTGACCGCCCACAATCTCAAAGACTCCCCCAGACTTGATTAATTAATAATGATATACCTCTATCACTGGGTACGTACCTCCACAGACACCTCCACACTTATAAGCTTATAGTTTCCCCGGACCCTGGAGTCTGGGCCGTGGACCCGGCCCTGTTTACAAGGCCTGGACCCTGTTTACAAGGCTGGGAGAGGCAGACCAGAGAAGCTGGACTCGAAGATGCGGGCTAAAGGCTAGACTGAGTGAAGAGTGGCGGTGTTCTGCAGTTGTTAGATAGAATACTGCGCTGTACCAGCTGAACAAGGCGACAAGAAAACGGCCAGGATTGAAGTGAGGCTGTTATCTCGTTATTTAGAGTTGGTTCTGATCCGGTATTTCTCTCGTGAGTCTTATAATCTAACCTTCAACATTGGACAACGGTTTGTAATTGGTAATTTTGGATAATCACAAATCAGCTGGATTTCCAAGACCGTCCTCCATGATATTATAAAATCTGGTATCGCATTTCTCCCCCAATTTAGTAGAGTACATCTGTTGTTGCACTAGAGTAGTCACACTGGGTAGGTGTTAGGATGTCTGGCTGATAGTGCAGTATTAGTGCAGATCTAGTGCAGTACTAACAGTGATCTGTCTCCTCTGATTGGGTCACGTGGAGGTCACGTGGTGGTCACGTGGGGTACGGTATCTTCCCTTCCTTTGATGATAGCTTTACTGTTAAATTATTGAGCTATTTTGTGATGATAGGTCTGTTGATAGACACAGATTCTTTCTTTTTTGTTGCCCAAATTTATTTTGTGCTTTTTTTGTGTGTGCTGTGGTTGTGAACCGTTTGTTTCCAGAATAGTTTGGATATTTTGGAAGTCTTTTATTACTCGGTTTATTTTATTTACCCTTTCCTCAGTTCGTTTTTTATCTGGATCTGCCGGTTGCTATTGTCGGCTCCCTGCTTAGTGGTATTTACCACGGCTTTATCAATGATTATCAGTCAAGATCGACAGGGAAATAATCAGGAAACATGTCGTGTTAGCCTTGTTACGAGTTACTAATTAATAAAACGAGTGATTTCTCCTCTAATTGAACTCCAATATCCCAGTGCAGGCGTGTGTGTTAACTGTTCACACTATCTGTACTAATATAATATAAAGTACACTATATTATATATAGTATTATATAAAGTACACACTACTACTACACACTACTGTGTGTACATTACACACAGTATTTCCACCCTGATTTATCAATAACAACTGTGACACTAGTTCCTCCAAGTTACCGGGGGGATCTTGTTCAGCCCTGATTTTACCGGTAAAGCTGGGGTTTATTTAGGACTTTTAGTGGTTATTAGTTGTTAATAATAACATGTTGATATATAACTTTGTCAACACTATTACTATATAACATGATGATATGTTATAATATGCTATAATTATAATAGTATGTTGCTGAACATATGATTTTACCAATAAGCACAGTTCTCAGATGATCAGAGTAAGATATAAATACACTACAATCGGTTTTACAATAAGTTTTAAAACACGGCTCACTGATTCCCGCTGCTTCAGCAACTAACTTTTATTGTTAAAGTTGAAAATTCTTTCATGGCCAAATTATTCCTGGTTTTATAGAATAAAAAGCATTGTTTTTGTTGTGGAATTTGTACAATGTATACAGTATGATTTTGTTTCACCTGTACGGTATCCTCTATATTATATAGATATATCTCCTACTCCTCAAATAAGAAACCTTTATTTCACACAGAGTTCACCAAACTACCACACTGTTAATCGTACACAAATCACTAAAATCACTAAAATCACTAAAATCACTAAAATCACTAAAATCACTGTTAACACGGTGTTTACCATAATATTTTGGTATTGTGGAATGTGTCACTTCCGTGTTAAAGTACTTGCTCTAACTCCCCTCACACTGGCAGTATCAGCCTCTAAATCACAGAAACGCAGTGTTAAGATTATCATTATACTACTTTATTAAACATATCATAACCTCGTGTTTACCTTCATAATAACACACCCAGACAGTGACTCACTGGCTCGTGATGGTCCTGTGTGGAGCTCATGCATGTGATATAATGAGATCAGGAGTACAGTGAATATTACTATATTATACGAGCGTGTGTTGAACAAGTCAATATTAGAGAGAGGTGAAGTAGGATATGTTCAATACAAGTAATATACATTACACAAGCAACACACAAGCAATACACAAGTAATAACTCAAGTAATAACACAAGCAATGTACAAGCAATAACATAAGCAATTATGTACAAGCAATAACATCTACTTGTGCTGCAATACCTTCTCCAAATAACTAAATAAGTACATGTTCCATCAGTTAACACTTCGTTTGTCACTGGTTGTGAATTAGTTACAAGTTTATATGCTGATAAAGTACTTATTTAATAACTTTATTAACTTATGATAATATATTATATAACTATAAGTAAGTTAACTTCTTTGTTAAGTAATTACCAAAATGACTAACTAATTGATAAACTAATTAATTAACAAACTTATGGTGGATCCAACTACTAAACCTACTTTATAGCACGGAGACATAATGTTGGTCTAACAATTTCATATTGCAGACACACAATTAGAACGTAAAAGGGAAGCACGGTTCCTTGGCGTTATAATGGATGATAAACTAACATGGTCTAAGCATATAGCAGCTGTTAGATCAAAAATGATGCGGTATGTAGGAATTATGTATAAAATAAAACGTCACCTATCGATTCAAATAAGGCTACAGATATATCAA